GCGCTTCACAGGACTCAGCACAAAGCGTAGTGACAGCGAATTGCGTTGGGTCACGTCCCACAAACAGTCGTGGATTCAGTGATCAGGAGGAGTGAGGATAAAGCCACAGCGACGGGAGCAGTCAGTCAGTCACTCAGTCACTCAGTCAGTCAGTCAGTAGCAGAGGATAAAAAACCAGTGAGAAAATTAAAAAGTGACGTCAGAGCGACGTCCGTATCAACACCAACTAATTCCTTGGGTTCTGGAGCAGTGCCCACGGATTGGAAGATCGCAAATGTCACACCACTATTTAAAAAAGGTGGAAAGGAAAAGATGGGGAACTATAGGCACTTCGTCTCACATCAGTGATGGAACATTTTAGAATCATTGATTAAGGATGTGGTAATGCGGTATTTAGTGCACAACATAATTAGGCCAAGTCAACATGGCTTTACAAAAGGGAAGTCATGTTTGACAAATCTCATAGAGTTTTTGAGGATATTTCGAGTAAACTCGATAAGGGTGAATCAGTGGATGTGGTCTATTTGGACTTCCAGAAGGCATTCGATAAGGTGCCGCATAAAAGGTTAGTCCAAAAGATAAGGGCCCATGGAATTGGGGGGAGCATATTAACGTGGATTGGGGAATGGTTAACGGGTAGGAAACAAAGAGTAGGGATAAACGGGTCCTTTTCAGATTGGCGGGATGTGACTAGTGGAGTGCCACAAGGATCAGTCCTTGGGCCTCAGCTATTTACCATCTACATCAACGATCTAGATGAGGACATCAAAGTTAATATATCTAAATTCACGGATGACACAAAACTAGGAGGAAGTGTCAACACAGAGGATGACATTAAAAAAATGCAGCGAACATAGATAGGTTAGGTGATTGGGCAGGTAGGTGGCGATGAAGTATAATGTAGGGAAGTGCGAAGTCATCCACCTCGGGAGCAAAAACAGTAGAGCGGGTTATTTTTTAGAAGGGGAGAGATTGGAATGTGTTAGCGTCCAGAGGGACTTGGGTGTCCTTGTACACCAATCACAGAAAGTTAGTCTGCAGGTGCAGCAGCAATTAGGAAGGGAACGGTATGTTAGCATTCATTATGAAAGGATTAGAGTATAAGAGTAGGGAAGTCTTGCTGCAACTGTATAGGGCCCTGTGAGACCACACCTGGAATACTGTGTGCAGTTTTGGTCTCCTTATTTAAGGAAGGATGTACTTGCCTTGGAGGGGGTGCAGCGTAGATTTACTGGCTAGTACCAGGGATGAAGGGGATGAGTTACGAGGATAGGTTGACCAATTTGGGCCTATATTCTCTAGAATATAGAAGAATTAGAGGGGATCTTATAGAAACCTATAGGATCATCAAAGGGCACAGAGTAGATAGTGGGAGATTGTTTCCCCGGTTGGAGGAACTAAAATCAGAGGCAGCCCTTTCGCACTGAGTTGATGAAGAACTTCTTCAAAGGGCAAAGAATCCATCAAAGAACTCACTACCCCAAAGGGCTGTTGACGCTCAGTCCTTGAACATATTCAAGACTGAGAGAGATAGATTTCTTATTGCAAAAGGTATTAAGGGATATGGGGATAAGGCAGCGTCAGGTTATTAGCTGGAGTTAGATTAGAAGATCAGCCATTAATGAATGGCGGGGCCAGGCTCGAAGGGCTGAATGGCCTACTCCTGCTCCTACATGTTGTGTTATGTTATGTCTCCTGCCCACCCAGCCCTACTATCGGTGGCCGAGCTTTCAGCCTCTCTACCCCCACACTCTGGAACTCCATCCCATGCCTCGCTTCCTCCCTTACCTTGTTTAAGGCCGGTCTCAAAACCCTTCTCTCCGACCGTGCCTTTGGTCTCCCTCCCACCTCTCTGCCTTCCCTCAACCCCACACCACCCCTCCCCCATGCTCGGGCCCCGACACCTGACTGTTCAGCGTTTTGGGACGTCCTCCCGACGTGAAAGGCGCTCTATAAATGCAATTTTGTTGTTGTTGTTGAGCTACTGGACAGTAAACACTCACCTGGAGGGACTGCTCATCAGTCACCAGTTATCAGCAAAGCCCTATCTTTAGGGACGTTACAGACTCGAGAGAGATATTTACAGCTCAAGTCAAAGGGTTTTCTCCAACACGTGACCCGACACAGAGATCATAGATTTATAGAACCTTACAGCACAGAAGGCCATTCAGCCCATCGAGCCTGTGCCGGCTCTCTCAAAGAGCAACCAACTAGTCCCCACTCCCCGCTCTGACCCCAACTAGTCCCCATTCCCCCGCTCTTACCCCAACAAGTCCCACTCCCCCGCTCTTACCCCAACTAGTCCCCACTCCCCCGCTCCTACCCCAACTAGTCCCCACCCCCGCTCCTACCCCAACTAGTCCCCACTCCCCGCTCTGACCCCAACTAGTCCCCACTCCCCCGCTCTTACCCCAACTAGTCCTCACTCCCCCGCTCCTACCCCAACTAGTCCCCACTCCCCCGCTCTTACCCCAACTAGTCCTCACTCCCCGACTCCTACCCCAACTAGTCCCCACTCTCCTGCTCTTACCCCAACTAATCCCCACTCCCACACTCTTACCCCAACTTGTCCCCACTCACCCGCTCTTACCTCATAGACCTGCACATATCTCCTTTTCAAGTCCCTATCCAATTCCATTTTGAAAGTTATTATGGAATCTGCTTCCACAACCCTTTCAGGCTGTGTATTCCAGACCCTAACAGTAATAATAACAACTCTCTCGGTAAAAAAAATGTCTCCTTGTCTGGTCTCCCATCTGGTTCCTTTGCCAAATATCTTAAATCTATGTCTCCTGGTTACCGACCCACCCGTCCAGTCGTCAGAGGAAACAGTTACACCATGTTAATTTTGAACACCTCTATTACATTTCCCCTCATATCTTCTCTGCTCCAAAGAGAACAATCCCAGCCTCTGTTGTCTAGACTCTCCACATAAATGAAGTCCCTTTGGGGAAAAAAAACAAAAGCAATAAAAAAGAACATTCCACTGGATTAGGAACATACTTTAAATATTTTAATAAAGTTGAACCAAGCAGTTTGTAATAATAATAATAATAATTACCATTTACAATCACCGCGTGGGCAGTATTTATACCTCGAGTTAATGGCGTTGGGAAGAGATTCCAAACTTTACCCTTTATACAAGGAGAGACAGCTCGGACCCTTCTCTAAGTGCAAACAGGAGCGGCTGCTGACATATACATATATACATATATTTAGATTTATTATAATAATCCTTACATTTGATACAGCGCCTTGTCACATCTTCGAGACGTCTCAAATCGCTTCACAGGATATACTGTTAAGTGTAGTGACTGTGTATATATTGTGGGCAAAGCGCGGCAGCCAATTGCGCACAGCAGCGTCCCACAAACAGTCATGGATTGAGTGACTAAATTATTATTATTATTTTTTGAAGGGATTATTACCCCCAGGAAAGCGATCCATAAATCAACTAACAAAGCAGGTTCCCGCTTACTGCTGGTAAACAGAGGTGTGTGTGTTTGTGTGTGTGTGTATGGAGTAAGGAAACTTGCCTAAGGTTTTGGCCTGACCTGACCCGCCTGGGAATCAAATCGAACCTGGGTCCTTCGCTTGCGAGGTGAGCGCTCTAACCACTGAGCTACAGGACTTTACTGAGCGTGAGTTAGCTGGGATTGGGGCTATGTGTGTGCCCTCTCCTTTGCCGACACCACATTTTTTTTGGTAGCGAGGAGATATAATATCTCGCCGCATATAATAATAATAATCCTTGCATTCGATAAAGCTCCTTATCACGTCCTCGAGACGTCTCAAAGCGCTTCACAGGATACACTGTAAAGTGAACCGACTGTATATTTTGTGGGCGAAACGCGGCAGCTATTTGCGCACAGCAGCGTCCCCACACAGACAAGTCATGGGTTGAGTGAGCACATTATTATTATTTTACTGTACAATATACACTATGCAGCCCTCCTGTGATAAAGACACTGGTTTGTTCCGCTTAGAAAGATTTACACTGTACAATACATAAATTAGAAGTGATTTACAATAAATAAAAAGGGGGAGTCACTTTTTCAGCTTATGTTTCTGCAGAGGATTGTTGCGTGTGGCAGAGGGTTCGAAATTCAAAGTCCAAGCAGCTCTGCCCACCCACTGTCAAATTCCGGCCTGCCGCAGCCTCGAGACCCTCCCTCGGCAGGCGGCGGGCGGGCAGCCGGGAGGAGGCTACGGAGCTCATTTCAGCCACAAACTGAACCCGTTTTCTTACCAGCCTCGTTGGGGAGAGGAGAGGAGGCGATGTCGTGTGTGTGTGCATGTAGGGCTATACCACAGTTCCACTAGGCGAGTTGGCCTGGTTCTGGGAGGATGATAAACCCTGTTGAAAAAAACACAGAACGAGACGTAAGTTACCACAAGCTTCCCGAGGGGATATACAAATTTCAAGGAAACTGGCCAAAGGTTTGCCGGGAATCGAACCCAGGTCCTCTCGCTTGCGAGGCGAGCGCTCTATATCCGTTTATATCCTGTTTACATCGTGTTTATGCTCCACAGAAGTACTTCACTCACTTCTTCTTCCACGAGGTGATGAGGCGCTGTGTGCCAAAGGCCGGGATTATTATTATTATGGTTATAATAATGATTATTAGTGTGACGGTGGCCGGGGACACTCACCGCCTTGCCGGGCCGAGCCCAGGTACAGATGAAGCCCTCCTGACAGGCTGTGACGATACAATCCTCCAGGAACACGAGAACCGTAAGGCGTTCGTGTGCGATTTTCTTACACACCAGCGGCTCCAGCAACGGCACCTCCTCGAGTCGAGGACACAGGCCGGGGCCCAGCGAGGAGGGCCTGGTGCTGACCGGCTCCTGCCGGCCCTTGGCGTTGCTCAGAGAGTTAAGTCTGTCGTTGCTCTTGCTGCCGGTGACGTGCCCTGCACTGTGGTTCCTCTTGTGCTCCCGCTCCCCACTCTTGTCCCTGCGTTCGTGCAGGGCCAGCGTGGCGAACTTGGCCATCCCGAAATGGGCCCCTCCCCCTCCCCCGCCGCTGTCCGTGCCGTGACTCTTCCCATTGTTGGCGTTGCCCACGGCAGAGTGTGGGAGGCTGTTGGAGCGCGAGAGCGAGTGGGGCACAGAGTTGCCCGTGGCCGGCGTGGGCGTTGACGAGTCCGTGCCCAGACCCCCAACTCCCCCCGTGTTGCCGAGAGAACCCCCCGGCAAGACGGTGGCGTTGCTCACCACGTTGGTGTTGGTCCGTGCCCTCGAGAGCGGGTGGTGGGGGTAGAGGACATCCTCCGTCAGGTCCCACAGGCAGAAGTGCGTATCCTGCCCCACAGAGCCGAATCGGTAGGTCACCCCCCCACCTCGGCCTTCCGTGGAGTTGTGTTTCGACAGCCTGGACAGGGTGCTGTTGGTCCGATGGCGCCCAAAGCTGATGTGTTCCTGAAAGTCCTCGTCGCTGCCGCTGAACTCCATGGCCTCCCCCTCCTCCACGCTGCTGGTGTAGGGGTCGAAGGCCACAGCACTGATCCACGACCTGTGCCCGTAACCCCTGGCCATCACCCGGCAATCAGCGAACGACCAAACCGTCACTAGGTCGTCCTCCCCGCCCGTCACCACGTACTTGCCGTCCGGACTCCAGCACACGCACAACAGGCCCCCGAAGTAACTTTTCATGACGCCGTAAAGCTCCATGGAGTCGAAATGAAAGACCCTGAGCCGCCCATCCTGGCTGACGCAGGCCACGTGCTTGCCATCCGGGGCAAAGGCGAACTGGTGCAGGACTCCCTCGCCCACCGCCCACTTGAGCAATGGGTTGCGGGCGGCTTTGCTCTTACAGGTGTAGACGGAAAAGCCCTCGCCTTGCTTCAGGGGCTGGTAGTGAGGGGAGGCTGTGCCACAGGGGTGGTCCACATTGTACAGGTACAGATTGCCGCTGCTGTGAGCGGCTAGGAACAGGCTCTCAGACTCGGGCATCCACTTCAGGCAGGTGACCTTGGTCTTGTCAATCAGCCGCTGAGAGGGAGAGTGAGAGAGAGACAGACAGACAGACAGACAGACAGACAGACAGAGAGAGAGAGAAACAGGCAGAGGTTAGAGCTTCCTTGAAACAGAGTGCTCAAGCTGACAAAAAAAACAACACTCACGGGTCCTCATGCTTGCGTGGTGAGTGCGCTAACTACTAGTCTACAACAACCTTAGGCAAGTCTCCTTACTCCACACACACACCTCTGTTTACCAGCAGTAAGTAGGAAACCGCTTTAGTCGATTGGCGGATCGCTATCTAGTGGTAATAATCCCTCCAAAAATAAATAATCACTGCTATTTGCGAGACGCTGCACAATTGGCTGCTGCGTTTCGCCCCACAATATATACAGTCACTACGCTTTGCAGTGTATCCTGTGAAGCGCTTTGAGACGCCTCGTAGACGTGATGAGGCGCTGTGACAAATGCCAGGATTATTATTATGACTATAACTGGGATGAAGAGGCAAAAAAAAGAGATTGGTAACCATTTCTCCTTTCACTCAGGATGTGGGTGAAAGTGTGGCACACGCCCATACAGCCGTCGAGGCAGAATTGATTGGGATGCTCAACAACACCAACTTGCATTTACACAGCGCCCCTCACGCAGGGTGTGTGTGGCTGTGTCTGTGTGTGTGTGTGTGCGCACAGGGCACGAACACTACCTCTTCATTGAATAATTTGCTGGTTTCCTTCTTGATGGGGTCGAGATACTGTACTTGTCCTGCGGAGAAACCCACCACCAGGCTGACGGCCTCCGGCGTGGCCGTGAACTGGTTAAAGTCGTGGCAGGTGGGCTGCGTCCCCTTATATATCCTCTTGTCAATGGGCTTACTCAGGTCAGCCGCCTGCAGGGAAACAAACAGGGCTTTCAGTCAGAGACGCACAGTGTAGAGGGAGCGTTACTGTGTCTCTAACCCTGACCTGGGAGTGTAGTGACTGTGTGTTACAGTGTCTCTAACCCTGACCTGGGAGTGTAGTGACTGTGTGTTACTGTGTCTCTAACCCTGACCTGGGAGTGTGGACGCACAGTGTAGAGGGAGCGTTACTGTGTCTCTAACCCTGACCTGGGAGTGTAGTGACTGTGTGTTACAGTGTCTCTAACCCTGACCTGGGAGTGTAGTGACTGTGTGTTACTGTGTCTCTAACCCTGACCTGGGAGTGTGGACGCACAGTGTAGAGGGAGCGTTACTGTGTCTCTAACCAATATTATTGACCAGTGGTGGACTGTGCCTTCAGCCGCCTCTCTCCCCTCTCCCCCTCCCCCATCCCATCCCCCTCCACCACCCACTCTCGGTTCCTGATCCACAACTGTCCAGTGCCTCGGGACGTCCTTGGGCAGTGACCCCGATATAGGGGGTGGGACTTCTTGGTATAGCAGGCGGGGCCCTGGGCTGTGGGCGGGGCCCTGGGCTGTGGGCGGGGCCCTGGGCTGTGGGCGGGGCCCTGGGCTGTGGGCGGGGCCCTGGGCTGTGGGCGGGGCCCTGGGCTGTGGGCGGGGCAGTCCCTGTATTGGGGTATGTCGGTTACTGTGGGGGCTGGTGGTTGCTATGGGTGTGTCTCTGCCACTGGGTGGGGGGCTGGTTGCCATGGGTGGGGCTGGTGGTTGCTATGGGTGTGGCCACGGGCAAGGCTGGTCGCTATGGGCGTTGCCGAGGGCTGGTTGCCACGGGCGGGGCTGGTCGCTATGGGCGGGGCCGGTCGCTATGGGCGGGGCTGTGCTCACCTGCCGGGCCCCGCGGTGAGGGTAACAGTACAGCTCGCGGCCGACATTGAAGCAGATCCTGTCACCGCCGCCGCCTCCTCCCGCCTCCCGGGCGCTGACCAGCGACACGCGCACCGGGTTGCTGCCCTGGCCGGCGCTGAGCGGCACGCGGTTGGGGCGGCTGTACTCGGACAGGCTGAGCAGTTTGTAGGCGCCCTCGCGCGTCCGAAACTGCGACTTGATCTCGTTGTTCAGCTCCTTCCCTCCGTCCGCCGCCATGGTGCCTGGGCCCGCGCATGCGCGGCTATAGCGCCGCCGCCGTCACAGCGCCGCACAGCGGCCCCTACAGTGAACTGCAGCCACAGCGCCGCACAGCGGCTCCTACAGTGAACTGCAGCCACAGCGCCGCACAGCGGCTCCTGCAGTGAACTGCAAGGCCACAATTGTCACCACAGGGACAGTTAATGAGGCCATTCATTCAGCCCATCAATATACACTGTATATTTATATACACGTATGTGAATTAACTGTACGTTTCACCCACAAAACACACAGTGACTACACTTTACAGTGTATCCTGTGAAGCGCTTTGAGACGTTAAGGCGTTGTGTCAAATTTGAGGTTAATTATCATTCTAATAATCCTTACATTTGATATTTAGGAATATTAATGTTGTGTAAATGATCTCACGTTCAAATTCGGTGCCTTTTCACGTCGGGGAGGGAGTCTCGCGGGATTTGCTGTGTGCTGTAGTGACTGTGTGCTGTAGTGACTGTGTGATGTGTAGTTTCAGGGGAAAAGGAGTGAGATGAGTAACAAATCCAAAAGGTTTAATTTTGCTGAGAGCGCGACAGACACCTCCGGCCACGACATTGTGCGATCACTTCAGGGCCTGAACTCTGGCAGCGAACAGCAGGACCTGCTTCTCCACCTCCCTATTCAGCGCCCGCTGGTCAGCTCCCGGGTGTGTCTTGACGTACTGAGCGATGGACAGGATACATTCTCTCTGGAGAAAAGCACAAGAACACTCGTAAAATAACCCTTGCAATTTGATACAGCGCCTTTTCTATCACGTCTGCGAGACGTCTCAAAGCGCTTCACAGGATACACTGTAAAGTGGAGTGACTGTATACCTTGTGGGCAAAACGGGGCAGCCAATTGCACACAGCAGCGTCCCCACAAACATTCGTGGATTGAAGTGATCAAACAATTATTATTATTGAATTGATTATTATCCCCGGAAAGTGATCCCCCAATCGACTAACAAGTGGGTTCCTACTGACTGCTGTGAAACACAATCACGTGTGTGTGTGTGGAGTAAGGAAACTTGCCTAATATTTCGTCCTGACCTGACCCGCCCGGGAATCAAACTCTGGCTTGCGAGGCGAGGGGTCTAACCCCTGAGCTACAGGGGCTGTGGGGTGCGAGGCGAGGGGTCTAACCCCTGAGCTACAGGGGCTGTGGGGTGCGAGGCGAGGGGTATAACCCCTGAGCTACAGGGGCTGTGGGGTGTGAGGGGAGGGGTCTAACCCCTGAGCTACAGGGGCTGTGGGGTGTGAGTCGAGGGGTCTAACCCCTGAGCTACAGGGGCTGTGGGGTGCGAGGCGAGGGGTCTATCCCCTGAGCTACAGGGGCTGTGGGGTGTGAGGGGAGGGGTCTAACCCCTGAGCTACAGGGGCTGTGGGTTGTGAGGCGAGGGGTCTAACCCCTTTTTTAAGGCTTTTAATTAATCTTTAAATGCATTTAGAATGTAAACTACCCGTAACTCTTTAATAAGGTTTCTTTGATTTAATGACTAGCTCAGCGGGGGTTAAGAGTAGCTCTGCTGCTGTCATCAGCTTCTGATTACACTTCACATTTTCCTGGGTAGAGATGTTCTCTCCTCTGAGAGAGAATAATGAGCAATCGAGTCCTTGAACACAGATGTAGGAACAATGGTCCACACAAGGAAAAAAGCTGAGAGACAAATACTCGTATTTTCCCATACGAAAAGAGCCTATCGAAGATGGCTGGAGGCCTGCGAAGGGCGGGGGCTCTCTCTGGGGCCAGGGGAGGTTGAGTTAGAAACTCATCAAAGAACGATGTAACTTTGGAATAGTTGGAGTTGTGTAGAGGGTCAGCACTGCCCCAGTGGAATCCATATCCATTCTGCATCTGTGTCTTGTGTGGGAATTTATCTCCGGTAAGAAAGTGAAAGGGGAGCAGTAGTGACTGGGTGATATGTTTTGGGTTCTGTTTGCTGGGCAGAGAAGTAATAACAGTAGTGGTTGGTCCGTTTGAAACACAGCAGTCGGGTTAGTCAGTACGAGTGAGTTTCTGGGCCAAGAGCTGATGGTTTCTGTCGAGTTTCCAGGAGCCGCTCTCTGTGATACTGTCCTGTGATCTCTCCAGTGTATGTCAAGGTGTGATCCCAGGTCTACTGTTTATTCTGGAGTACGAAACAGTGCCTGGATACGTCTTGTCCTCCCTGTATCGTCAGTGCTACTGTTGACTGGTTGGTCCGAGGGTTTACCGGACGCTGGTCGATGTTTAGTGTATCTATAACCAGAGTCAGATGTCCCTGAGGGATTCCCGGGGGCTGGTCCCTGCTGTGTATTTTGAGGTGTGTTGTTTGTCTGGAGCGCTGAGCAGCCCCTGAGTATGTTGCGGTGCGATAAATAGTTCACATAGACGTGTTGTGTTAATGTGTTGTCGTATAATTTGATCACAGACTGTTAAACCTTACGTTTCATCTTATGCAACAAACTCGAAACTCTCATCACCGTCTGTCACATTCTTTAGAGCTTACAATGGAATCAGAGCAAGAAAAGCATCTCAGGCGCTGGGGGTCTGAGGGTCTCGGTACCTTGTAGAGATCGATGGTGTCCTGGCCCGTCAGTCTCCGCAGAACAGAATCAGCCACTCGGCTCCTGGTCACCAACGACAGTAACTGACGGCTCAACTCATCATCCACACTCAGCCAGTTCAGCAACGCTACCTGTCAGACAGAGAGAGAGAGAGAGAGAGGTCAGGGGAGAGACAGAGAGAGAGAGAGACAGGTCTGGGGAGAGAGAGAGAGAGAGAGAGAGAGGTCAGGGGAGAGAGAGAGACAGGTCTGGGGAGAGAGAGAGAGAGAGAGAGAGAGACAGGTCAGGGGAGAGAGAGAGAGAGAGAGAGAGAGAGAGAGACAGGTCTGGGGAGAGAGAGAGAGAGAGAGGTCAGGGGAGAGAGAGAGAGACAGGTCTGGGGAGAGAGAGAGAGAGAGAGGTCAGGAGAGAGAGAGACAGGTCTGGCAAGAGAGAGAGAGAGAGAGAGAGACAGGTCTGGGGAGAGAGAGAGAGAGAGAGACAGGTCTGGGGAGAGAGAGAGAGAGGTCAGGGGAGAGAGAGAGAGAGAGAGAGAGAGGTCAGGAGAGAGAGAGAGAGACAGGTCTGGCAAGAGAGAGAGAGAGAGAGAGGTCAGGGGAGAGAGAGAGAGGTCGGGGAGAGAGAGAGAGAGACAGGTCTGGGGAGAGAGGGGGAGAGAGAGAGAGACAGGTCTGGGGAGAGAGAGAGAGAGAGAGGTTGGGGAGAGAGAGAGACAGGTCTGGGGAGAGAGACGGAGAGGTCGGGGAGAGAGAGAGAGAGGTCAGGGGAGAGAGAGAGAGAGGTCGGGGAGACAGAGGGAGGTCAGGGGAGAGGGACAGAGGGAGCGGTCAGGGGGAGTGTTAGATTATATTTGTGATGTTTATTGTTTCTTTTAAGGCTTTTAATCAGAACGTAACCCCACCACAATCCTTCAAGAAGGTTTATTTGATGTAGTGACCGGCTTATCAGGGGTTACGAAAGCCCAAGTGGCTTCGCTGGGTCGGCCTCTGGTCACATTCCATAAATTCCTGGGATCTTCCTCCGAGATACTGAGCAAATCATGACCATGAACGCAGATGTAAGAGCAATGGTCGATAGAAATAGGCTACGCCCTCAGGTCCGTCTCAAGGCTGTGGAAGGGAAAGCTGCCAAGAAGTTGTCCGTAACCTCTCTCTCTCTCTCTCTCTCTCTCTCTCACTCACTCGCGCTCTCCGGGCGAAGGGTGTGAGAGCTCTCCCTGTGACCGGGGAACGTGGGGTTAGAGACGCATTAAAAAAAACGCGTCACTTTGGAATAGTTGGGAGTTGTGTCAGCGTTTCCCGGTGGAATCCATGTCGATTCTACTGTATCCGTGTGTGTGTGTCACCGGGCGGTGGTGGGGTGTGGGTGCGGTGGGGTTGGGGTGGGTGGGGTGTGGGTGGGGGTGAGGGGGGGTGGGTGCGGTGGGGTTGGGGGTGGGTGGGGGGGGGGTGAGATTGCCCTCACCCTCGTAAGAAAGTGACCGTTAAAAGTGAAAGAGGAGGAATAGTGGGTGGAGATGTGCTTCGGTTCCTACGCTGAGAGGTAACGAGAGTTTCTTCGGGAAGCGGAGAAGAGGGCACAGCTCCGGGCGCTGTGCCATCTACACGGGTCTGGGAAGCGGAAGTCTGATAAATGCCAACGGGAGCGACGAGAGAGGTCGGTGACGCGGTAAGAGACACACCTCGAGAGAGAGAGAGGGGTCAGTCACGGAGGGTGTGTGAGAGAGAGAGAGAGAGAGAGAGTTGGGGAGAGAGAGACAGACACAGGGAGAGTATGAGAGACACAGACGCAGAGAGACACAGAGGGGGGGAGCGAGACACACAGATACAAAGAGCGAGACAGACAGACAGACAGACAGACAGACAGAGCGACTGACCGTGTACCCCTGGCCGTGACCCCCTCACCCCCCGGTTACCTGCTGAGCAAGTTCGAGGAGAGACATGTTCCCCGCTCTGTCGGCCATCTCTCCCGTCCTCGCAATCCTGACACAGAGAGAGAGAGAGAGAGAGAGACATCCTTCACCCGACCCCAACCCCGACCCTAAACCCCACTCTGACCCCAAACCCCTCCTCTTCCCAATACACACACAGACACTCACACAAATACACATAGACACACATACAGAGACACGCACACACTGACATAGACACACACAGAGACACGCACACAGACACACACTGACACACAGCACACACACAGATAGACACACACACAGATAGACACACGGACACACATATACGTACACCCTGGCACACGGACACACAGGCACACGGACACACAGAGGGACACACACACACACGGACACACAGGCACACACACACACACACACACACAGATACAAACAGACGGACCAAAGGACACAGACACACCCAGGCACACGCACACACACAGGCACACGCACACACCCAGGAACACACACACACAGGGACACACAC